GGGGGGGGGGGGGGGGGGGCGGAAAATGCTGTTGGCCTTTATCAGTAGGAAACTTGCATTTTACTACCTGGACTGGTTTTGTAGAAGATGCCTTTTCTGTTCACGTTCCCATAAAGGATCTATGGCAATTGTGGCATGGCTTACTGTTACAATACCTTTCTTGGGTATTTTTAAGATCTTTTCAAGCCACTGTATTCAGTTATAAAGAGCAGAGTTTGGGAATGGGGCAACTGAAGGCTGAGAGATGGAGATCTACTGTCCTGCTCTCTCTCTCTTGGCTGACCCAGTGTTTCCCCAAATAATTTTTCTTGGTTTTGCCTGGGACAATTTACTTTGATGTATTAAATGTGATGCCTTTAGTTGGATGTCTGTGACAACCAGTGAATGGCACAGTTTCACTATAGCTAAATGTTGCCATGTGGGCTTTCACTGCAAGCAAGCTGGTGTTCTTTTTTAAACTTGCAATAGTATGTTCATGTCAAATGATTTGTTGTGCCAAATTATGAAGGTGACACTTAGCATGGTCCTGATTGCAATGAGATCTGAAAGGCATGCTAGTAAAGCACATGTTTTGAGAAATTCAGGGAATATTTTCTGTGCTTCTTACCATTTGGAATCCTTCTGCAAAATGTTGGTTTTCAGTCTTGAGTAAGAAGGAAGTAAAGAAAATCAGGAGCCCCATCAAAGAGAAGAAAGAAGTCAGAATGACAAAGCAGACAAGGACAGATCCTGGGGGAAGACAGGTATACTCATTAATTGTATTTACATTTCAAAAACGAGTTAACTGTGGTGTTCTAAATCATACCCTCCACTTGGGTTCTCTGCCACACACCATGAATAATAAATGCACTTTGGAGGATAAAGTGACCCAATAGGCTTCCTCCACTTCTGATTTCATGTGTGATCTTAATTTGAGAGGTCAGTACAAATGCCTATGATAAGTGATAATTTTAGGTCAGTAATTACTAATTAAGACAGAAGGCTAGATGCTGGCTAAAGCACTTGAAAATAGATCACAAATAACCCTACAGGAGCTGATTAACTCAAACAGAACACCTCCTTAGGTGATAGCTACCAAATTATACTTAGAATGATTTTTTAAAATTAAAAAGTATGAGGGAAAAGGATTTATGAAACTCTTGGCTGAGTTTTCTCTGGAGAAAGAATTTTGATAATAAGTGGGATTAGCTGTTTGCCAATTAGCAGACAATTAGAAGAAAGACATTTACCCAGTGGGCAAAAATCTTTTATGATAGACTCACACTCATCAAACCTGTTTACATCAAAGAAAGATAAACAGTGCTGCGCTCACAGTGTCTTAGGTCTAGTGATGTGAACAGCACTGGCTGCTGCTATTGTGCCATCTTCATGTGGGATGCGTGGGACTCGATGTGACAGTGCTTCATGTGGCAAGCACACAACAGAGGACCCCGAGCTGTGCTTGTGGATCCTGGGATGGCTGTGGATGATTTTTAAGCGGTCCATAAAAGAAATTAAGAACAGCACAGCAACTGCCTATGGAGAAAACTGAGAAATCTCCGACACTGGGGAATTTTTAGGGACCTGCAAATCAGAATAAGTGAGAAGACATTGGCTTCATTAATATTAGTATCTGTAAAGGTGATCATCATTGCTACATAGATCGGGGTAGTGTCAGACACTGGAAGCTTTTCTGAAAGTGTCTCTTGGACAGGTGAGGCCTCAAATTACCATAATTCAGAGTGGCAGATGCTGTAAGGAAGAGCTGAGCTAGGCTGCTGCTTTTTGTCTTATTTTTCACAGCTTAGCAATGAATTTTTCCACATGGTTCCTACAAAATAGGGATATGTAGGCAGCACTGCTTGGCCAAAAGGCAGAGTGAGGGATGAATCTGCCTGATTTTATTGATGTTTGTGCTCCTTTTTTGCATCCTCAGAACTTAAAACATTCCTAGGTAGCATCCATCTCTCCCAACTGAAACATCCAAGAATCAGTGTTTCAGGCTGAGCTCCTCTCTAAGATCCTTCCACAAGCAATGGAAAGAGATAAGCAGGTGCTGAACATGAGTGCTCTAATCCCAACAGCTCCTCAAGGTGTATTTCATGGTTCATCCTCTAAAGGGGCTATTTCTTGCAATGAACTCCACAGGCAATATGGAGCTCAAAGCTAGACTTATACAGATCTACAGTTTAGATACCTAAATGAGGCCAGAAAAATTGTACCTTTCTATTCTAAAATCCAACTCAGAACAGCAAAGAGCAAAGAGGAAAACAAATTAGGACCAAATATTTCTCAGGAGTGCAGAGCATTTTCCTGCTATATCCCTTGGTGCAAGGCAGCACCTACCCTGAGGACTACAAATGCAGACTGTGATATAGAAATGAAGGAATGAACTCAATCCTGGTTTTGCTACTGGCATCCCGATCAAAACGAGAATTTCAAATACAGTTTATCGCTTTATAACATTTGTGACATGCATAAATGTGAGGAAGTATTAATACATGATGCTTCCAACCAAATCCATGTTTTTACTTTCTTTCCCTGCATAGTCAGGGCTCTGTCCTGGGGCAGCTTCATTTGCGAGAGGCTGAATTTGCTCTGATCCCAGGGAGCACTCAGCACCCCTCAGGGACAACCATCTGAGTGAAAGCCATCAAGTGTGGAAGCAGGTCTAACCCATGCCTTGGGCAGCACTTCTCTACACAAGAAGCGGGCCTTTGCAGTTTGTTTCTTTCTAAACAAGGACATTAATTCCTTGTTGAAGGGGAGGATTGCTTTTAGAGCATCTGACAGTTGTCCAGAGATTAGAATTCCTTCCAGTTAAGCTAGTACTGTGCCTGTGACATGGACCTTGTTTGGGAACACCTGACCTGGAGCAGGCAGACCGGGGCTATCAGCATTAGGAGAAATCTAGTAATGACTCGTTGCACCCTAGGGAAGAACTGGAAATGGTGACCGCCTTTTGTTCAGGGAATGCTGGAGCAGGCTAAAACCTTCCAAGAGGACCAGTCAGGCTCCATTAAAATACCTGTTTTAGTTTTCCGGAAAACTAAACATCAGGTGTGCTTGAGGGTAAGGACTGGCAGCTATGATCAAAGGCATTTTTCTGGTGCATTGTGTGGGTTAACAGTCTGTTGAACCGTAGGAGCAGACATGATGGAGAGACTCAGAGCTGCAACATGCTGCTGCTCCTTAGTGCAAACTGAAGCTGCACTGAAAAACAGGGAGATGCTGTCAAGTCCTTCTGGCAATGGAACAAGTGTACAAAATGAAGGGAATGGTGTCATCAGAGCTGAATGGCAGCAACATTTTGTGACTGAAAATGATTTTCTTCACTTGCACAACGATACTAACATTTAGGGGGGAAAAAAAGGAGCACTGCAGAGGCAGTCATTACAGTTGGAGGAGCCTGATTAGCCCCTCTAGCTTTTCCACCTGAAAATACAAGATGTACTATGATACCACCAGCATGAACTCCATGGGAGGAAGTAAAGGAAATGTGATTACAGATATTATACTCAAATTGAATTAAAGCTGCATTAAAAAACTCAGATTACTGTATAGTTCCATGCTATGCTGGAAAACATGATATGCATCTGCTACTGACAGACATAAAGAACATGCAGGGGCTTATTTTTCAAAAACGAGTTCGATCTCTGACTTGCTGATTCCTAAATCCACAGAAACAAAGGCAGGAAGTAAAATTACAGACAGACTTTTCTAGCACATAAATAATCGTCAGCGAAGCAGCCCTGTTGCTTGGGTTTTTTCTTTGTTTTTCTTCCAAATATTTACTCTCCATTCCAACGTTAAGCAAAGTTACTTACTTCAGTTTCTTTATGTATAAAAATCAGATAATTAATCTAATCTTCTTTGCAAATGGTGAGTCTAGATAAAAGCATTAGTATTGCATGCTGATGTTAAATATTTTTTCAGTTGACTAGCGGTCACTGGAATACTTTTTTGTGCTATGCTCATTCACTGTACAGATTTAAGTGAGTTATTAAATTCTTCCGACTCATCCTATTTTTGCTGACAGGGAAAAAAAGCAATCCAGGCTTAAGGATACATGTCAAGCTCACTTTTAAACTATCTTTTGGAGGTGTATGTCATGTAGCGGCATATATGGAGGGAAATATCTCTGTTTTTTTGGCTGTGACTGCTCCAAGGCAATAAAAAAGATCTCTGGACTATGGCAGTGTCATGAGTTACTGTCTCTGCCATGAGGGCTCCACACACCTGGTAATTCTCGTAAGAGATTCTCTGTCTAGTATGACTAGAATTATCATAAGTATGACTAGAAGTATCATATAGGCTGACAAAGTGAACTGTTATAAAATAGTGTGTCTTTCAATTACTTCCCTCATTATGTTTCATCAAGTGGCAGACTACAAAAAATTTAAAAATAAAAAGTTGACATGAATGGTTATATAGTTATAAATTAATAACAAAGACTTTTAATGTACATGTAAAAAAAAAAATACAGCAATCACCTTCCAACTGTGTTTTACCTATTTTCAAGCAACAAAACACAGCTGGCAGCTGTTTATGAAAAGGGGTCAGTGTGCTAAAATGTTCTTGGTCTGAAATAGTAACTTTATAAAAAAAAATTTCAATACAGATGTATTTTAAGAACAAAATCAAAGAAAGCAGTCATAGAACCTGAGAGTTTCAAAGCAGTCTCCTCCCCATAAGTCTCCCTCTCCCCCCAAAAAACCCCAGGGCTATAAAAAGCTTCAGGAAAGATTTTCAAAGGCGCTGAGTTTTCAAAAGGAAGAAAGCCCCTAAGTATTCTTTGTGCATTTCAATAAGGAAAATTTCCCTAGATTTTACACACTTCAGTCTTTTCTGCGAACACACTCCAATTGGCATGGTCAAAGTATGAATGAATAACATGTATCTCAGGGATAGGACGCTCTGTCAGCTCAGCCAACTCCCCTTCTTTAACAACGTGGTGGTACCTCAGCCAGGCCCCACCAGGACCTGTCTGCTGCTGGCTCTGTGTGGTCAGGGTGCGCTCATCGCTGCTTTCTGCAGCGAAGAGCCTGTCATTCTTTTGTTCTGAGGTTGGCAGACCCTTGTTTTGGGTGATGGTCTATTTTAAGTTGTTGTCTGACAGGTAATTCTTTCTGATGTGAAATCAGGTCAGGTAAACACACTCCGCTGCAATCGTGAAGAGTATCTGCAGCCACAGGGAGCTGTATAGTTGCTTGTCCTAATTCTGAATAGCAACTCCTGAAAGCCTTCAAGCAGTGTGACATGGGCAGCACAGGTTTAACAGCCACTTCAAAAGCTGTTGTATTTTCAAAACTCAGTTTGCAATGTAGAAAAAAGTCAGAAGTGTGCTCCAGAAAGCCAAGATCTGTTCAACTTTTTTTTTTTTTTTTCTTTTTTCCTGTTTAATTCATTCAGCCAAACACTGTAATTGCCGTATCTAATGAGCTCTTCTTGGTGCCACTGATCACCCACATCTGATACTGAGTCAAGTGATCCTGAGAACAGAGACCATCTCAGAGATTTCTCTAACACTATGCATGGTGTTTGTTTCTCTCCTCCATGGGATGAGCTCTTTGCTGTCCTGTGTACCTCTGAAAGTCCCATCCAACTCATGACAGGCCTGGTTCAAAGCCAGCTCTTTGTCCTTTTAAAGAATTGATTTTTGTACTCCACGTGAGCAAGGCTCACTCAAGGAGCAAGAAGGAGGTGAAGGATTCCAAGGAACAAAGACATCTTGCTTTTCAAACGTTCTCCGGTTTTGCTCCATTGCCCACACATATATCATTATCTGGCCTCCTATTCCTAAGATGCAAGCCATCTCTTTTATTGCTCGCATGTGCCTCTCTTCCGTTGAAAAATGGTGAATCACTAGAACAGAACAGATAAGGTGACTAAGTATCCCTCGAGGCACTAATGAATACAGAATATAAGGACAGAGACAGGTTCTGACACACTGGCAGCCGATGGTTTGCACCGCAGGAATACATCATTTATCTTCCATTGTGCTACGTGTTATTGTACTATCTCTAACATATCTACCATTGTACTATCTCTAATTCTAAGGAGTTCATAACACACTGACTTATTTTAAAAACACAGCAGAATTTTGAATCATTGAAACAAATGACATCTTTCAGATCAGCAATAAACACAACAGTATTGTTTTTTCAGTGAAAGGCTACCACTTGGTCAGTGGCAAAGCAACCTGGCCATTTATTACCCTCACCTAATGCTCATCTGCAGCCTGAAATAAGCCCTTCTGAAAGATTGAGGCCATACACGATCCTTGCAACAGCTGTGCTAGTGATCCTGCTGACGATACCCATTAAAAGAGGACTAGGTTAAAACTGCCTGCCCGTTTCTCCTCCTTTATTGACGGATGTCAGTAACAGAGCAGAAAAAAGGAACAGCTGCTATCGGCCTGGGATACATTTAAATCATGAACATAAGGGTGAAAGACACTTAGTCAACTAGCACTTGTCTATTTCTGGCATTAACAAACATATAATGAAAACAAATAATTAGATAATCCCGTTGTTGCTTGATAACCCCCCACACCACACAAACATGCAATGACATGGACAACACCTCATCATTACGATGGTGAAACTCAAGCAGCACAGCTACACTTGAGTCAGAACTGAGTTTAAATTTGACTCCCATTTCAATAAAAATTTTTGCCCTGAAAAGGCCAATTGGTCTCAGGCTTTGGCAGGAATTTGTCAAAAGGCAGCTCTGCAGGTTGGCTCCTGCTCTCTGACTATGCAGCTCTACTGCAATTCACAACAGACATTGAGGTTGATTAGGTCTTGGTGCACAGCAGGGACTTCAGCAAAGTCTCAGCTACATCAAATAAATGTTACATGAGAAATAAGAATAGGAAATAATCCTGGAAGAGTGCTGGAAAGGACAGGGCACATATTAAAGAGGCTGAAAACAAAAAGCAATAGAATTAGTGATATTCAACCTTATATTTTCCTCAGTGAAAATTCCTGTGCCAGTTTGGGCAGATATTTCTACACATACCACTTCATGTTACAATGATAAAACAGTTTTTGGTTAAGTTGTTGAGGTGTTTGTTTCCACAGAAAAATAACAGATCTTTCAAGGAAAAAAAAAAAAAAGATGCAAGCTTTCAGTTTTCATCTTTTTTTTAGAAACTTAAATATAGAAGATGCTAGCAGAAGCTCTGTATGTACAGCTTCTCTGTCAGAGCAGTCATTCACTATGAGATCCATTTTGCCTCAGAAAAAGAGACACTTTACAATTTAAAAGAATAACAGCATGCAATCCAGCTGAGATAGGAAAACACTCTCCCTGCAATGAATGATGCATTCACAGACTCTGCAGCAATGTGAGGATCAAAAGGCAAGCTTTGAAGAAATAGGGTCTTTTAACATTTAGTTATTCAGCTGCTCTGCCTGTAGGTTTCACTTGTTTGAGATGAACAGAAATCAATTCCAAAAGCTCAGGTCTTCTAGCGATAGTCAAGATGCTGACATGGAAACATTATAACTTTTTAATTAAAAAGGCATCAAGTATCATTTAAGAAATTACAGAGTATTAATAAAATCTCACACTGAGCAAAACTTCAGTGTTGTCAAGATAAATTTGTCAGATAATTTTAAAAGCTATGGGTGATGTATTCCATTTAAATATGCATAACTTAAGGAAACAGAGCATCTGCATGAGGCAACATCACACTATCCTGAAATCACAGATTATTGCACACAATTCTTTTTAATCAAAGCCAAACATGTCAGGCTCCAAGATTACCGTGCAGACACATTGACCTAAAGCATGCAAGTTATAAAAAAATAATTTCTTTATTTTACTTGACACTAAATTTCTTGTGTGTTGAAATTGTGTTTAAACTGAACAATCTGTACTGTGCAGTAAAGGTGCCATTTCAGAGACGGAGCAGCTCATGTTAGCCGGCAGTGAGACACAAGCACTCACTCGATTGCAGCCCAGCTGAAGAGCCTGCTTCCCTCTCCTCCAGTGGCAAAGCTTCAGATCTGCTTCTCCTACAACTCCTCTCATAGTGATGAGTAGATGGCGACAGGGGCAATGTTTCATAGAAACATAGGATGGTTTGGGTTGGGAGGAATGTTCAACAATCATCTAGTCCAACCTCTCTGCCATGGGCAGGGACATTTTCCACTAAATCGTGTTGTCAAAGTTCCATCCAGCCTGAGCTTGAATTATTCCAGTGGTAGGGCATTCACAACTTCTCTGGGCAACCTGTTCCAGCTTTTCACCACTCCCACAGTAAAGAATTTCTTCCTAATATCTAATCTAAATCTACCCTATTTCAGTTTAAAACTGTTGCCCCTGTCCTGTCACTATAGGCCCTGGTAGAAAGTCTCTCTCTATTCTTCTTACAAGCCCCCTTTAAGCATTGAAAGACCACAGGAAGCTCTCCCTGGAGTCCTTCAGTGCTGCACCCCTAGAACAATCTTTCACCAGCTGTTCAACATATTTTAAGGTGATTTCCCACCATCCAAACACTATAAAACTAGGGTCCAGATGCTTCAAAGTGCATTTGTCATAATGACTGGTACTTTAAATGAAAATTAGTTCTGTCCTAAATTACAATACTTATAGAAGCTTCCAGGTGGTGAAAACTATATCAGGGCAGTGGGAACTTGTCCTAGGTTGGAGCAAACATCCCTCCAGCACAGGGCTGTGGCAGCAGTCAGCATCAGATGTTCCAGAAAGAAAGAAGGGAAGAATAGTGATGCCCTCTCCCCTTGCCTCCTGTGGTCAGCAGCCTAAGATCTTCCTCAGCCACAGGCTGGAGCTTGTATCTAATAGCCAGTGATGGATTTGTCCCTCATGGATACCTCCTTGGACTCACTTGTACTTCTGAAATTCACATGTCAAAGGAATCTGCAATTTAATTTATTTTCCTTTTTAATGAATCCTTCTGGTTTAAATCTTTCCCTGTGGTTCTCCTGTTTTAAGAAACCACAGAAATTGAGTCCCTATTCACTAATTTAGTACCATTTGTAGGTTCCAGGATGCTATCTCCCTCTCCCTCAGGAGCAGTATGATATACACACTTCTTTTACAATACTTCTATGATGATACTCTTTTTTTCTTAGGTGAAGAGCTCTAGCCCATTATCTATCCTCATACATAAATCTGCACCTTTGATCTTTATAAGGACTTCACTAGTTCTTCTATATCCTTCCAGAGATGGAGAAAACCTGAATTACATGCAGTATTTGAGATACAGATGCACCAGGTATTTATCTTCTACCATTCTTCTGGATTTTGATTTTTGTTCTTAATATCCGAATACTTTTTTTGACAAGTTTTGAACACTGAGGTAATAATTTTCAGTGCAATGAAAATGAGTCTGATAATGACTTCAATATCTCCTTCGTAAACAAGAACAGAGGGTACCACTGTGCCTGTACACTTAGTTATTTTTTTCTATGCACATTACCTAGCATTTATCCACAAGTACTTCTCTGCAATTTTGCACCCAGTCATTAGTTTCATGAGACCTTTTTTGCAACTCTTTGCAGTCAGTAATCCTGAATAACTGTACATCACCAGCAAACTTTATCACTAGCCTATTCATTTAATTTGTAATTATAAATTACATAGGAATCTGTTGAACGGCGGCCTTTTTATAGGTGCCACACACCTACACTAAGCATTCAACACTGAGTCTTTCAGCACGTTCCACACCCGTCTGCTAGCATTTTACCCTTCTGGCTTTCCCTTTCAAATTTCTTAAGAGTTTCTTCATTTTTGGGAGTAAACTTTTATGCAGTGGATTTTTTAAAGCATTTTTGTTCCTAGCAGGAGGTTCAACTACAGTCACATTAAATTCAGTGAGAGAATGTAGTTCTTGCACAATTACTTATTGATGTGGGCCTGATGCACCGTTTCAGACTAATAAGAGTTGTTTCCCTTTTGTGGGTTCTCAGATTAATCTTTCCAAGAGGCTTCGTGCCCCTGTGTATCATTTACACAACCTACATATGGATAATTGCAGTTTCTCAATATTGTGTTTTCTGTCCTCACAGCCCTCACAATCTCTCTTAATAATCTGTGGTCATTTTCCCAGGTTTATCAGAGGGTTAGTGATACATCCTTATCATTACACTGCTCTCCTCTGTAGCTGTCTACCTACTCTCAATTCTTCCAGAAGTTTATCCTCGTGCTCTTTTCCACAGAAGAATACTCAGAGCTTTTAGCTATTATGCAACCCTTGTAACAAAAACTAGAAAAACCCCTTACGTTCACTACAAAAAGGACTTTAATGAACATTATATCATTATCATACTAACCAACACCATGCCATGGTGATAAGGACAAGGAGGACCACATTTAATTTTTTAAACATCCAAAGAAACAATTGCAAAAAATAAATCTAAGAACAAAAATATTTGTTTGGGGTGAGCACACATGTTTTGCCCAAAACCTCTGAAAGCTCTTTGCAGCAGTAAGGTCTTGCTTCAAAGATTAACAGTTGTTATAAATCAAGCATTCCTTTTCATTTTGGCCATACATTCCCCTAGTGTACCTAGGAGTCAATTCAAATTAATTTTGTGCCATGTACTGCTCATTCCTACCACTTTTGTTTAAATTGAAGACTGAAAGATTTTCCATAACTGAAAAATACATAATGCAATTTTAGATTTCAAAGCGAGAGGGTGAGGAGGAAAGGAGAACATTTCAAAGATTCTTCTCTTCTTCATTTCATAAGAATTTAATTAATTGGTCCTTCTCTTAATTTAATACTGTGACTAATCCTACTAAAAGGGATTATTTAGAACAAGCAGACAATGTAAGATACATTTTTGTGTCATTCAGCTGTCTTCAGAGAACAAAACTGAAAGCATCAACAA